GGGTATTTCTGTCAAGTGGAATTACCCTCCTTTATCTTTTCTATCCTCTCTTAAACTAGGATTAGTCTAGCTTTTTCTATATAACTTAAAGTATGGTCACAGTTAACTCCAGTTTTACATTCAAAGAGAGATTGTTAAATCAGTTCTTAATTTTGAGTTAAAGATATACTAGTAAAAGTATCAGATTGACTACCTTGGGTTTAGTTATCAATTCTTGCTTGAATAGTCTGTGGTATGCATGTCAGAACTAGGTAAGGAAAAGGAAGTGTCTGTGGCAACCACACTGTTGAGAAGGGATTGGCACAAGGGGAAGAAGTTCCCACCACAAGGATTCCATTACGGGCTGATGTCTGTCTGTGATATGACAAGCAAACAAACAAAAAACTTGGAAATGATGCCATTTGGAACTACAATAAAGTATAATAGTTAAAATGTAGGAGAAAAAAAACTCATTTTATAAAGGGTAAATGAGATAAAAACATAAAAAAGAGAAATAGAAGAAAATGTGCTACTGTAACTGGGAAATCACAGCATAAATAGGGATAATTTGTAACAGCAAAAACATAAAGGGGAGGAGGTAAAGGTCTGAATTTGCAAAGGGGAATGGGGATAAGACACATGCAGAAGAAAAATGACTATTTATAACCGAGAACCATAGGACTTCACTCATATGTCACATATAAAACTGAAAGCAACAAATGAATAAGACAAACAAACGAAGACTCATAGACACAGAAAACAGTTTCGTGGTTACCAGAGGATAAGGGGGGAGGGGCGAGGTAGAAGAGGGTAAAGGGGATCAAATATATGGTGATGGAAGGAGAACTGACTGTAGGTGGTGAACACACAATGCGATATATAGATGATGCATTTACACTTGACACCTATAAAATCGTACCAGCCAATGTCACCTCAATAAATTTAATACAATTTTTTTAAATGAAATGAAATAAAAAGTCATGTTAAATTTTTTCCAACTAGATGGTTGTTACTAGTGTCTGAAATGGAACTTACATTAAAGAAATGACACTAGACTGCATCTCTTAGAAAATAATCCATTTTCAAAACTGAAAGATGAAATTGATGGAAATCTATCGTATTCTTCAAGGAAGCTTATAGAATCTTATAAGATTTGGCTGAGAGATGAACCATTGCATTTCGACTTGACAGTTTCTCTTTGATAGTGAGAAGAATCTTCAGATATTCAAAACCTGAGACTACTTTAGTCTATGACTATACATATCAATAATTTGTTCTGAGGGTTTCATTTCCAGGGTTAATTTTGTAATCATTTGGAACTACAGCTTTGTCTAACAGAAAACATTTTTTCAGAATACTGTGATGCAGGGCTGAGCCAAAGTAAAAATGTGTGCTGATAAATGAAGTCAGTTAGAAAAAGAAATTTAAAAGAATAAAAATGGAAAAAAAATTAATAAGAACAAACACAAATTAATCAGAAATAATAATGAAAAATTTTAGGGCACTTGAGTTACCTCAGAAAATAAATTTCATTTTCATTTTGTATCTCTATAGTTGCCCAAATTGACTATGAATGAAATGTCTAGACTTTAGGCTAATTTACTAGCTGTATAAAATCCACTTAACTTTTTATTTTTTATTTTTTGTCTTTTAAGTAAAACGATGTGCCTATTTCACAGGGTGTTGTGATGTGCCATTGGCTCAGAATCTGCCAAAGTGCTCTATGAATTAAGCTATTGTGCTTAATCCCATAATAGGGTGGAAATTGAAGATACTGTCTTGTGAGTTTGGAAGGAATTCTTGGA